GCTTAAGGGGTTGTGGGGGTGGTCTCCCCGTCACATGTAGATTTACGGGATGTGGGGGGCGGTCCTCCCCATCACACGCAGGCTTACGGGATGTGGGGGATGCCAGGGCGGATCCACTTCATCCCCATGGTGCTCCATCCTCATCCACCCTGGAGCTCTGGCTTTGCACAAAGGGTGGATGTTCCCCTCTTCCTCTGGGGAGGCCTGGGGCCCTCGGATAGCCCAGCCAGCCTCTGTGCCAGCGTGTGTGAGAGCTTAATATAGACACGCTGATCATCGGATTTCAGAGATGGCAAATCAGATGAGGCTCATGTGCTCCTCAGAAGAACAACAGAGGAGGGGCTCTGCTTCCGCAGAGATGGAGAGAATGTTCAGTGTGTTCCATGGAAGTCGTTAGCAGCAGAAAATACTCCCACTTGAGACTGGAGAGGGGGGTGGGAACAGTGACTTGGGGGTTGTTTTGAGCAGTTAATAAAAAGGGCAATTTAAAGAGATCACCTACCTTGCACCCAGCAGCTTAGCCAGGCGTGAAGTGCAGGCAAGGATGTGGCATCACAGCAGAGGATGAGTTCCTGCCCCGTTACTGAGAAACGTGCCCTCCCTTCCCCTGTGAGATTGTTTGTGGGCGGGGCCTTGTCCATTCAGTGGTTAACCATGTGGTCCTGGGGTTTGCTCTGTGGTTCCTGGGGGTTTGTTCCATGGTCCTGGGGGTTTGCTCTGTGGTTCCTGGTGGGGGGAGGGGTTACTCTGTGGTTCTGAGAGTTTTGCTCCATGGTCCTGGGGTTTACCCCTCAGTTTCCTTGACTGCTCATCTGCTGTGAAGAAGAGTGGGTGCTATGGAGTTGGAAGTTGGGAGTTCCCAGCAGACTTGAGAGAATGTTCCCTAGTGTCTCACTCTGTCGCCTGTGGCCAGAAACCTGTGAATTTTGGGGGAAAAAAGAAATGAGGTTGGCAGGTGTCCCTGAGCCACTGGATCCCATGAGCCTGGGCTGTCAGCCTCAACATCGCAGTTCCTCTGAGCAAGGGCCCCATTCTCAGCCTTACCTACACCTGTGCAGAAATTCTGCTGTCAGGATCCAGAGGTCCTGCTAGCTCCCAGGGCGTCTGCAGTGCAGAGCTCTCCAGGGAAAGAGACAGGCAGCTGGCTTCTCATGGGGCCCTGCAGGCCAGGGCAAGAGGAGCATAGAGCACATCTGGTAGCTTGGAGTTTAAAAAACTCTTCCTGTGTTATTTCTTAGGAGTTTGTTTGCTTTATTTAAAATTTGATTTCAAGATAGAGTTTTTTAGCCCCTAGAATTTAGGGCGGGGGGAAGAACTAAGATGTGTGTTGGCAGTTGGAGAAAAGCTAGAATGTATCGATTTAAAATCTGTTCCTTGCTTTTCCGGTCTCAGAATTACTTGAGTGGGTCTATGTGTGTTAGTCCGGGCTCTCTAGGGAAGCAGAGCCTGTGGGGAATACAGGTACCTCCATGTGAAGAGAGAGATCAATCCATCGATTCTGAATGACTGGCTGGCCACTGTGGGGCTGCAGGTGCACAACCACAGGAAGGGGACAGGCTGGACCAGGGAGGGTGACGCTGCCTCGGGAGTGCCCAGGCCGCTGGGGCAGAGTCCACTTCTGGGGACCGCAGCCTCTTTCCTTAAGGCCTTCAGGGGAGAGGAGGGGCCGTCCGTGTCCGGCTGCTGAGGTGCTGTATGCAAGGGTGTCAATCACACCTGAAGACGCCTCCACGGCAACACCCAGATGTGTGTGTGAGCCGCTGAGTCAGCCACGGTGACACTGAACCGGCCACACACTGCTGGATGTGTGGACGCGTGGATGCGTGGGGTTCATATGTGGGGCCTTTCCTGAATATGAAGTGTTGGGTGAGCCCAGGGCCCTGGGCCTGGTGGCCCCTGACTGTCGGTTTTGGAGTCAGGTCAGCGGCTCACTGTCTTCGAGGCAGCGGGATGTGGTCTGGACACACCCTTCCTGGGTCATCTACCCCCTCCCCGTCCAGCTGTGGAAGCCAAGGTTGTGCCAGTGAGGCCCCAGCCACCCTCTCCTGTTGTGACCAGGGCTGGAGCTGCTCCATCCAGCGGTCCTGGATCTGTGGGGAGGGGGCCGGTGAGAGGCGTCCTGGGTCTGTGGTGGGGGAGGGGGGCCTGAGAGTGGCCCTGGGTCTGTGTGTGTGTAGGGGGGGGGGCCTTGTGAATGGCCCTGGGTCTGTGGGGTGGGGGGGAGGGTGTGTGAATGGCCGTGGGTCTGTGTGTGTGTGTGTGGGGGGCCCGTGTGAATGGCCCTGGGCTGGTGGGGGTGGGTGTGGGGGGCCCGTGTGAATGGCCCTGGGCTGGTGGGGGTGGGGTGCACGTGTGAGTGGCCCTGGTCTATGTCAGGTTTCCCTGCGGTCCAGCACGGGGTGGTCTCACCTGCTAACCCAGGGCCCTCTGTTTATTGCAGCCCTGCAGCCGCTTCCCAGTCGCGCCCGCCTCCGCCCTGGCTTTGTCTGAGGACCTGCAGTCCCCCTCTCCAAGCAGCTCTGGCTCTGGGCTTCCTGGCCAGGCCCCACCGTGCTACGTACCCACCTACTTTCCCCCAGGGGAGAAGCCACCCCCGTATGCACCCTGAGAGGTGTGGAGTAAAAGAAAAAAAGAGGCAGCCTCTAGAAATCCCACTTCTGTGGCCAACCTCCTAGAGAACCCAGGAGAGTGTTCCGGAAGTCTGTCCCCGGCTTCCCTCCCTGGGCACACTGGTGAGGGAGGCTGGGACCAGGCAGGGAGTGGGGCCCTGCAGACCCAGGCTGGTGACACCTCGGCTCAGGCTCTGCTCACACCACCCGGCCGCCTCCTCTGACAGCGATTGTTCTGGTGTTTTCACATCCCTTAGTTAATTAGCTGCTATTATGATTCTGCAAAGAAGGTGCGGCTCCGTGCCTCCCTGCGTGTGTGTTCCTGTTTGCGGACGTGTGTTGTGCGTTACACATTCACGCGTGCGTCTGTGTCCTGGAGAAGGGCAGGGCAGGACCCACCCGCCCCGCGTGCTGTGCCCCTGACATATGCCAGGAAGGGAACGACGCTTCGGCTCCCACGCCCGGCGCTGTGTCTAACCGCCTGCGAGTTGCCAGAGTCTGGAGGCCCAGTTATCCTTCCCAGCCCCGGGCGCAAATCTGCCCGGGCCACTGGCGCGAGGGTCTCCCCCTGAGCTGTCTCCCAGCTACGGCACCTGGACTTCTGCTGTCCTTCCGCAGCGGCTCCCTCACCGCAGTGTCTCAGGAGGGGATAGTGGGGGAGGGTGTTTCGCGGTCCCTCGGCTCAGGGTCTGGGGCCGCAGCACTCCCTGTGGAAACCAGCCCTGCTCCCCGCGGGCCCAGCATGCGCCCTGCCAGGCACACCTGGGGAGACAGGTGAGCGCGCCTGGGAAGAGGCAGGTCCCCGGTGGGTCCCAGGTGCCCTAGTGACTGGAGTTCAGGATGCGCCACCCCAAAGTAGCCAGAGTCTCTTGAAAAGCAGTGGATGTGGGGAGAGGCTCTCAATTCCTAAAGTCAGGTCCTCAAGGAACCACGGACTCCCCGGGGCGCGGGGGAGGCGAGAGGCGATCCCACTGCTTCTCAGACGCACCACAAGACACCGAGTCGCCGCCTCTGCTCCGTGGGCTGCTCACACTTCCCCAGTCACTCCCTCTCCCCTCGGAAGCTGGCGCCCCAGGGCCTCACGTCCCTCCCTTCAAAGCCCCACGGTGTCTGCAGTAAACAGGTACCACTCTTCTCCTGAGTGAGTCTGAGGTCTCCAGCTTATTTCATGGAACAGCACCCGCCTGGGAGCTGGAGCGGGGACTTTCGTCCCTGCCCAGTCCTGGGTCTGGGAGAAAAAAGATACGGGAGCCACGCTCATGCAGACACAGGCTCCTGCCCCCTCCGCTGCCCGGGAGCCTCCCTCTGTCCCCCTCTGCCCGATGGTGGGTCTCAACCTGTGTTCAGTGCTCCTGGGCAGAAGGCCCGCAGCGCACATCCACGCATAGACGGTGCCCAGCCAGGCCCAGGGGTGCCAAAGGGCCTCTGAAAGGCCTGCAGCCAGCTCTGGTCTGTGAACCCGCCACGGCTTGTCATTTTTATTTTGTAAATCCAGCCTCACCCACTTGCTTTCCAGGAGAATGTGGTCTTGGCCTCTCCTCAGGGCTGACTGGCCTTGGATCAGTCCAGGAGGTCAGGCATGAGCCGGAGGCGCGGCGTCCTGTCTGGAAACTCACCGCCAGGTTCCTCCAGGGCTGCAGGTGCCTGGCTCCGACTGAGAAGCTGAACAAGCAGCAGAGACCAGGAGGTTTCTGGAGCGCCCGGAGAGGCACTCAGCTGCGCCTGGGGGGATGAAAAGTGTGCCATGGATTTCCCGAGTCCCCGAGGCTCTCGTTTTACCTCGGGAGGCTCTATGGGCGCTGACGGTGCCGTGGTCTTGTGTGGGCAGTTCTCTGTGGCCTGGGCACTCTGGAGCTCGGCCTGTGCCCCCGAAGCTGCCTGGTGCAGGCCCCAGGGCCTCTTGTTCTAGGGGTACGAAAAGCAGAGAAGCTGAACTGCAGGTCTGGGCAGGCAGCCTCTGCCCCCTGGAGCCCTGGCCAGCAAAGTCACAGGGATAACCATCATTCCCTCATGTCAGCCCTCGGTTGCAGGGTGCAGTGTGGGGGCATCAGAGTGCTTCCCCGAGGACGCACGCACCAGCGTCCCCCAAGCACAACGTCCATCTTCCCTGACTTTTAATCTTGTGTACAGTCAAAAGCTGTTCAAAAATATTCAACTCCAAGGTCAACAATTTTGTTCTTGCCACAAAAATGTCCTTATCCTTTACCCCAGCCACAAAGAATGTGAACAATTTGACTTAAGGCTGGTGGTGGCCGGAGGGTCCTCCAGGCCCCAGGGCAGCTCCCACCCGGCACAGGGCTCCGGCCAATGCCTGGCCTGCAGTGTGGGCGGCGGCTGCTCTCGAGGTGCACCCGTCTGGTGGACGGAGCCTGTCTGGGGCCACCAAGCTCTGCCGGCCTAAGTTACAGTCTGATGAACCCCTCCCTGGGCTCCGCTGGGGCCTCCTAATCCCAGCCTCCTCCCAGCCTCCCCTGGAGGGATGGGCCCCCAACTCTGCCCTCGCTCAGTTCCCACGCACAGCCGAGGCCAGGGAGACCCTGGAGGCCTCGGGAGATGGGGTGGAGGGGATGGTGGGGCAGGGGGTGCTGGGTGGTTTGGGGGTGCTGTGGTCCCACCTGCACGCCCTACCTCACTGGGTCACACAAGAGACAGGCTTCTCCTGCAGCTCAGAGGTGGGGCCTGATGCAGCTGCAGGTCAGGCCTGGGGAGGGCGGGGTCAGAACATTGCCCTGGGCAGGGCTCAGCTGAAACTGGCCCCACCCTTATTAGCTTGAGACCTTCGGTTACAGGGAGCCTCCTCCTGCCTCAGTTTCTACATTTCACACAGCAGCACTGCTCACAAGAGCCCCCAGTCAGAAGCAGCCCAAATGCAACTACTGAGTGGGGGAGGGATGTGGTCCGTCCACATGGGCCACCGGCCACGGAGAGGGGACGGGACCTGGGTGGTAGGGGTTGGCTGTGTCCCCACCCAAATCTCAAATTGCATCTCCCAGAATTCCTGTGCGTTGTGGGAGGGACCCAGCGGGAGGTAATTGAATCATGGGGGCTGGTCTTTCCCGTGCTATTCTCGTGAGAGTGAATAAGTCTCACGAGATTTGATGGGATGATCAGGATTTCCGCTTCCGCTTCTTCCTCGTTTTCTCTTGCTGCTGCTGAGTAAGGGGTGCCTTTGGCCTCCCACCGTGATTCTGAGGCCTCCCCAACCATGTGCAACTGTAAGTCCAATTAAACCTCTTTTTCTTCTCAGTCTCGGGGAAGTTTTATTAGCAGCATGAGAACTACAGTGGCCCATCCACACACGGGTCACCTGGCCACGGAGAGGAAGGAAACTCTGACGGGTGCTATGGGGCGAGGCTGTAACACATGGTGCTCAGAGAAGGACACCAGACACCAAGACTCTGTTCTGTTTATATGCAGTGTCCAGAGCAGGCGTGTCCAGAGCAGGCGTGTCCAGAGCAGGCGTGTCCACAGACAGAAGCCGACTGGGAAAGGAGGCGCAGGCACTCACTGCTCACGGACACGGGTTCTATCTGGGGAGACAAGCGTGTTCTGAGCATGTTCTGGATAGGGAGGGAGG